ATAGATAAGCCGTGTTTCACCTGCTAGTCGCTCTTCGTATCCCCGAGTCATCCACATCATAGCCTGAGCGAACCTCTCCGGCGTCTTCAACAAGCCTTCCCGGTTGGGGTCTTCTCCAATACATTCAAGAATAGTCCGCACCGCAGAGACCATCATTTTCTCACGCGCAGCACGGTCTGGCGTGGTTTCGTTCAAACGAGACACGGTGGATTTTGCTGTCATAAGAATGAGTATCATTGAGATGCCATTCAAGTATCATTAAGACGTACCAGGCCATCCAAGACCATTTGGGTCAGGAAGTGCGTGGTTTCCCTCGATAGCACGAGAGGGCACAGTGAGAGGCGTTGAAGTACCTGAAACTCGAAAGCCATAACCTTCTCGGACTTGAGGAGGACTGGGAGGTGAGGCATTGGCTGATGAAGATGCCAAAAGAGACTCGTTATCTGGAGCAGGGTCATTCTTAGATTGCGGGTCCCCGCCGTCATGGTTATTCGATCCGAGATTCGTTTCGGACTGCTGGAGTTCTAGTTGTCGTAAACCATTTGACAAGAGCTCAACGTGAGACGTCATTTGAACCGAATTCAGGGATGTTTAGTCTAAGGCCTGCTCAACGCAAGGAAAAAGAAACTACGAGTGAATCCTTATCGCGTAGCGAAAAGGACTGAGCCGTAGTGTCAATACAGCTGCCAACTTGCCGGTTAACTGAGTTGTCGTGAGTCAGTGCGAACGTACCCGGTAAATTTGGCGAACGTTGTCACAGGACCCCGACTGCTGCCCGTGACACATGTCTGCACGTTTTACTTCCGAGGCGCAAGCTCTCAGTGTCGGGTGACACCGCGCACTTAAGTCCGACGTATGTTTGCAAGGCGGTCCGTGATCTAACTAAAAATTGATGTAGATAGATGCCGAATCCGGACGACAAGGGAAGGAAGGTCATATATTCTTCAGGCAAGTCACAAAACGGCCCTTGGGCCCAGTACTAGTGTACCTCGACATTCAAAGATGCGTCTAGAGAAAATAAAACCCAATCTGGCACTTCAGTAAAACCACGCCGCGGACGTTTGATAGGCAACTTTTTGTTCTGTATGTAAGTCCGTAAAACGTCGATTTTATGTTGACATACAGGTGGGAAGCTCCTGGGCGGTGGCAGTACGAAAAATTGTCTTCGTAAATGCGTGGTCCCGAAAGAAGTGGAGTGGCAGGCCTGCCTAGACACGTCAGTGAGAGTAAGAAGCGAACGTAGAAATAAAGAAAATCACCTGGATAAGTCTTCGTGTGCTCAGGCTACTAGTCGACGAAGACAAAGTAACGAACGCGCTGTCATGTCGGGTACCTTTGATCAGAAACATCAGACCGCTGCCAATAAGTCTTCTTTTGTGTGGGCGCTTGACCAAGATAGCAGCCCTGAGAGCACCGCATGATAACATTGTCATAGCTAGAGGATAGTTTTACGATGGGCATGAATTATGAGTCGCTGAGACACGTACAGACGTGGCATAACTGATGCTTGTGGTTCCCCAAGAGATGGACACATTTGTAGCACCTGTGGGCTCGGCGGGTTCAAGTGGATTGAATTGGCCACGTCGCCTGTGGATGAGAAATTGAAGCGAGAATCAAAGACGTGTTCGATTTCATATGAGTGGATACTTGTTATAGTTACCGTTGACCACATTCTTTAATTTTGAGTGACGGCCTTAGATCTCGCAGTAATGAACGTACCTCCTGATGGTGACCGTCATTGAGAGAGCCACTAATACATAACATACATGTGGGCGGCGTGGAGTCGGGGTCCTCCTGAGTCAGTGGTTGTCACCCAAAAACGGCTATTTGAAAGGATCACGCCTTGGTTTAGCCGCAGCAGCAAGGCTCACTGAGCAACCCGGAGGTGTCCAGTCCTCCAAGTTGCCGTTACTAGTAAGTTTAGGTCGGGGATGAGGCCTGCCTAGGCACTCACTCGCGTTCTGTCACGTCCCTTTATTGCCGTGTAAGTTTTCTTATTCGCTCCTCCTGAATGCTCACGGAATGATTTCTGCCACCCTAAATCACTCTTATAAAGTTTCATAAACCTTACTTATGTCTTCTGTTTTGTTCTCACTAGTTTCATGTCCCGGGACAGGTCTGCCAAACTCGTCCTGCCACACCGCTGGTCAAATATCACCTCGGATCTCATCAAAGTTGTATGACCACATACTACTTGTAGCGGAACAAAAAAGCTTTGACGTGAACCACAAAAAAGCTGTGACCCGGGACTCTTCTTAAACCGGGCCCTCTTTCCGGAATGGTCTCCTGGCTCACCGTTCGTATTCACTGAGAATGTGTCAAGGGTTGAAGCCTCGCAACCTATGCTCACCTTCACAAACCAGCAGTACCAATCGTGTAAGCCTCAACCCGAAGCAATTCCCCTTAACGTCATGTCGCTGCGTCCAAAAGGCATGGCTATCCTCTCGTGTTATTCCTCGTCGCAGAGGATCTTACCTCATGCCCGGCGCACATCGCTCCATCAACGAGGAAAACATTAGATCAGCTGTCACAATCACTCGTGGCTGCGTATTTGAGTTGTTTAGAGTCCTTTGGAGTCTGCATCCAGTTCGCACTACACTCATGATGGTCATAAACGTGGTTCGGGGCATGTTTCCTGCCTTCAGGGGCTATTCACAAGCAATGATCGTCGATGAGGTCGGTGAACCCCACTTGTTTCTTTCATCTCTCTAACTTGGTCCCAAAGTTGCAAAATCTGATATCGTCTGGTTGCTTCACTTGGTCACGCCTACTGAAGCTGCTGATCGCGGAAATATGCCGAAGAGCGCTCGAAACGGCACTCGACTCCTTTGCGTACGTTCGCATATTCAGACTACGGAATTATTTTCATGCTTAAAATAGTTCCGCAAATGAGACCGTTGTTCATGATTCGGTGCGCTTTTTCGTGGAATATCAGCAGATCGCACAACGTCTGAGGCTCGACATCCCGACACTCGCGGATCCCGTCGTAAGGGACTGTCTTCAAGAGTCCGATCTCTTCGTCAGGTCATTCAATGGCATGGGCGGGTTTGGGTTACTTTCGCCGTTCGACTTCGTTCAAATTCTAGCCCAGATATCTGAGCTTGCATCGTATATCTGGGTGCTGTTGACCTTAACCGGTGGCTCTACACACATGGGTGCTTTGTTAATATCCATTCTTTCCGCCCTATTCCCTCTTTTCTTGAACCGTTGTGGAATCGCTTCTTCACATTCTGAATCGGCTTATACGAGCAAGGAGGCTCGTACCGCGGAACGCCAGGAGAAGCTACGGAATCTAGCCTATAATGACACACATCGACCGGAAGTTCTACTCTTTGGGCTTGGACCATGGATACTCCATTCCTGGGCAAATGCTCGCAAGGCAATGATGTATGACGAGCATTTGTCGCCACTAAATCAGCCTTCATTGTCACAAATACTGCACCAGATAAATGTATCCGACCTGCTGTTCGCGCTTCAGAATGTGAGTTGCCACTCTTTCCATAGTCAACAAGAAGAATCAATGTTCCGTAGATTCCAATGTTCCTGATGTTTCAGTCCTCATCTGCGTCACTGGGATCACTGGCACTGTATCGGAGTTCAATTCAGTCGGTGGTTTATACAGTTGGAAATCTGGTCAATACAGCTCGCATGGCATTCCAAGGAATATTCTTCATGGGTGCCTTTTGCGCTGCCATGAACATTGAACCTCGACTGACACCTGTGAGCGAAGACGCGGAATTGTATCCTAGCATACCTAATGGCATGAAGATTGAAGCGAGGTATTTGAAACTATCTATCGTTTCACGTGTATTCACCTTCCATTTCCGCAACAGAAATCTATCATATACATATCCAGGAAGCAAGGAGCCATCGCTACAAGACGTCAGCTTCAGTCTAGAAGCCGGCGAAAGTCTTGCAATAGTCGGGTACAATGGCTCAGGCAAGTTCCGCCAGAAATTTCATTTATGTCCATCTACTTATCAGAAGATGTCCAGGGAAGTCTACTCTTGCCAAGGTGCTGCTACGGATTATAGATTTCGACCAAGGTGATCTCCTTATCAACGGTGTGGACATCCGTCGGTTAACTCCGAGCGATTATCACCGGCATGTCACGACCGTCTTCCAGGGGTTCTCGAAATACAGTTCGACCGTCAGAGAAAACGTCGGATTGGGTTTTGTTCAAAACATGCAGTCGCCCGCGGCCATTGAGCGCGCCATGCGTCTCGGTGGTTCAGATGCATTCGTAGGTGCATTGCCAAACGGAATGAAAACCAAGCTAGATGCCTCCGGGTTTGAGTTCATGCCGTACTCACCAGCGTCAAGTTCATGTCATGGTATGTCCTCGCGGTTGCAGCATGGCTTGTCTGGTGGTGAGGTAAGTTTGCCTATTGCCAAACAGGCATTCTTGAACTGAGTGTGTTCTCAGTGGCAGAGAATAGCCATCTCTCGGGCATTCATGCGCGCAGATCGACCAGAAGTTGATCTATTACTGTTCGATGAACCCGTGAGTGTGATTCATACCTGCCACAATACTTACATCTCATTTCCGAGGGTAGACGTCATCATTGGACGGTTGTGCTCAGAACAAAATCTTTGACACTATCGATAAAGTCTCTCGCTCCCTCCAAGGCGAAAGAATCAAAACAGTGATTTTCATCACTCATCGTCTGTCGACCGCCCGCCGGGCGGACAAAATTGCAATGATGGAAAATGGGGTGAGTCAATCACCGCGTGGCGAGTCTCACGGCCTAACGCCCCTTCGTCATATGTAGTCAATAACTGAGTTCGGGAGTCACGATGACCTATTGAAGAAAGGTGGTTCATATGCCACTCTATATAAAGCATCCGTTTAAAGCGTTCCCTTCGCTCTTACCCGTACATTCTTCCAGATGAACTATTTTGCATACTTCATAGACTTCAATTTTTCGAACAATACTAATGAGTTTACTTACGCATGTGGCGCCGTTAATGTACCTCTAGAACTTACATATAGCTGTGCATCAAAACTGATCGCTCGTAGAATGGTCCATGTATGCTACGATGCCATCATGAATGTATGCGTCCACATTTTTACCTTCCAGCGGCTCAGCGACGGCCAGCGGGCTGTCGCAGAAGCCAACTACAAGGCCAGCGTCCCTGATTCCTTGAATCAGCGAAGGGACCTGCAACTTGAATTACATCACAAGGGTGAGAAAATTTCTAGCGCCACGTAGTTGGGAGGTATCTCACCAATAATTTCGGATCGAAGAAAACACCCAAAAGGTTATTTCGTTTTGCAAAGTCGACGCCAGCAGCTACGCTGGATGACCAATAATGACACCCGGGACTTGTATCATCAGCACGGTATCTGGTTGACGCTCGTTGCCCCTCGTCAATTTGGCCGCATCGAGATGAAAAGAACACCGGATCTGGTTATACAGTAAGATATGATCTAGCTCCACGATGCAAGTCGAGGAAGCACTGACAATTTGGTTGTTTCCAATTTAGTGCTACACAGACTTGTGGCGAAAATGAAGTGAGGGCAATTCGGCGACGAGCGAACGCTCCACCTAAAGCCGAAGAAGTCTGCCGGATTGTGCGCAGCACGCTATCAACAGCTTCATTCAGCTCCACTTGGCATCTTATGGAACCACGGTCTCGACGCTCGGCAGGCAGTGCCAACTCTAACGTAAGGCCGAGCTGCGTAGGAAGAACCTGCAAAGCAAATTACTTCAAAGAAACGATCGGACATCACAAGATTGAGCCCAAACCTGCATTGCATCCGCAAGGGTAATCATATTGTGTGACAGCATTCTGGACCATTCTTGCGCAGATACTGCTTTTCTAAGCGACTTATCATCGCGCTTCAATCGACGTGCTAGAGCCTGGAACTGTTCTAGATTGACATCGGAAACACCAAGGTCAAAAGAGGCCTCCGGTAGAAGATAGTCACCGAATATCACAGGATGCAAGTCGCGCGTGACTTGCACGGTGATATGCACGTGATTCCCGATCAATGATGATAAGGTTAATGTATGCAACGGGGAGGTGGCGTTGGAATGTATCGAGGGTGACGTATATGTCGAATCCAGTGAGCCGGGAGATTGCTGCCACGGCAATGATGTTTGCGAATTGGAAGGTGTGCCTCTGGGTATTGCCATTGATTTCCAGTAGGTTTCCACCGCTCCACCCACTTCCAACGTAACACCTTGAAATGGTGTTATGACATTGATTGAGACAGTAACCTGAAATGAATAGTCAACTAAGCATCTGGCAACATAAATGGCTAAGTTAGCCTACTTCTCCGATACTATGAAGACGAGTGTCAAGGATAGGAAGCGTGACATCTGATACGCCATTGCAGCCTTGCAAAACCGATGGATGAGCAATTGCACGCCCAATCGTTTTAGTGCCGAAATTGGGGTATATCGAAAATTCTAGGCTCAACCCTTTCAGCGACGGGGATTGGAAGACAAACACATCGCACTCTTCCATTTGAGGTAATAGAATGCTATACGGAGCAGCATTGACGCCAGGACCAGCGGTGATTACCATTTTCAGGGGTTTTGAAGATGGAAGTGACAAATTGGGCGCAATAATAGAGCTGGTCAGGCGCGGATGGAGTGCTACACCCGCGCCTCGGAAAAGGTTATTGTTGACGGTAACCTCGACGAGATAGTTCTTGTCCAAATAATTATGCCCGTATACGCGATGCGGCATGATCGGAGGGGGAAGTGACAACGAAGGGATCTGATCAAACTCGGAATCCACTTGCATTTCTGTGTTATTCAGTGGAGACTTGGGGCCAAGACTAACGATTTCTGTGGCATGGGGTACCTTCGCTGCAGCTTCGATCAGGATCTCTACAGACTCTCGATGCCCATACCAGGCCGCATAATGAACCGCCTGATGTCCTACTTCATCAGTCAAGTCCATTCGAACGCCAGCCTCCAAAAGAGTTCGAAGGCAAGATGCGCGACCTTGGCGCGCGGCGTGAAAGAGGGGCGTCCACTCGTGGTACTTGTCTGGAGTATCGCAACCTCCATGGCCCAGAAGAAGCTTGACAACCTCGGCATGACCGTCCCGTGCGGCAAGATGTATAGGGTATTCGCCATTGCTATTTGGCATGCAACGTGCCCCTCTTTTCAGAAGAAGAGATACAATTTCTAAATGACCATGCTGACTGGCCAAAGCAAGAGGAATTAGATTGTCGTTCGGCGCAGTGAATGATGGTGAGATGCACTGGTCGCACAACAGCACTTGTACACATTCCGGACTTCCCTGCAAAGTGGCATAGACCAGAGGGCTGCAATTGTCCACATCGAGAACGTGTGGAGGTAGGGAAGCTTCCAAAAGCCGCTTGCAGACATGCGCGTACCCATGCATCGCCGCATAATGCATGGCAGACCGACCATAAACATCAAGCTTCTTTGGCTGTGATGACTTCTCCAAACACATATTGACGAGGCGAAGAGCCCCCGCGGCAGCTGCTTCGTGGATGCATGTTCGCCCATTGATATCGTCAACGAAGTCGAAGTCGAACGGGACTGTGATGCTGGCGAGTACTAAATCCGCTAACTCAGGTGGCGCATCGACGATGACCCTCCACAGCACGCGGGTGACATTGATTCTGCATCCATTCTGTGTACCAAGAAGATCCGAGTGGTGAACAAGATCCTTGATAGAGGCTTTATCCGAGTTCTCCACGGCTTTTCGCAAATCATGCTCAAAATCGCGGAACGGTCCTGCGTACATATTTTTCTCGATGAAGCTCACGAAATCATGGGCAGCCGGACCTTCAACCTTCAAGCTAGCAGATAGGTCCGTGATATCAAGGAGGCAGGATGCTACAGTATCAGACAGCTCTGATATGAGCTGTCAAAATGTATCAGGACAATTCAAACTAAGCGATGACGTCGCTTGCCTGCCGATTAAAGACTGGTTGGACCTCAACTTGCCTGGCGAGGTAGAGCTCCTTCGTTGTTGACCGCGACCTCTTATCCCATTTCTTCAAAATCTTCCTGAATCCTGTTGCGTTCATTTCTATAAATTGCTGAAAGGAGTTGGTTCAGGTTACACATAACAGTCATATAGGCATTGAAGTACCTGGAGTTTTCCAAGATCCCTTTCGAGGAGGCGGAAACCCTCTTCAACAGCACTCCACTCGACATGGTTCACAGTGATTTCCTCGGACGTATCAGGAAGCCCGCGTATTGCCGCGGCGCGCCTCTTGGAGAGTAGGGTCTCCAACCGGAGCTTCAGCTCTGCTTCTTTCTGCAGGTAAAATGTATTGATCTTGGATTACCCAATGACATTACTAAGCCTCGTGTAGGTAGACACTTTGGTGACAAAACATACCTTCTCCAGTTCACGCTCTAGCTTGAAGAAGAAAGCGGCTTTGTGCGCCTGGAAGTCAGAACCACGATCGTCATCCTGTTGGAGAGCAGACAATATAGGTGGTTCATCTGGCTCATCTTGCGTTATCGGCTCGACGGGATTTGAGGTGTCTAGTTGGGCTGATACTGGGACTCGGATTACTGTGGTACTATTCTGTGAAATAGGTCTCAAAATATCAGCTGGGCGGACACCAAGGGCCAATGCAGCGGCTTCGGATGCAGGTCGATTGGCAGCAAGGGACGAAATGATCTTCTTGAGAAATTTGTAGTCCAGATAGTATGCAGACCATCCAGGGACCTGTTCTGCCTGAATTTGTTTGCCAAACTGTAGATCGCAGCGTCGGTAAAAGCTCTGAATGGCAAAAAGGTTGTATGGTGAGCCTGACCTTCATAATAGTCGTTTATTGTTCAAGCTCAAGAAAGGGGACTGCAAAAAAGTGGTAGTTGATCAGACCATGATGGTTGTCCCAAGAAGGGTTTCGGAAGAGCTAACCTCGAGTCCCTAAATTTCATGCACGTGCGTCAAAATAATGTTTGCCCAGATAAATATACGTCAGACTCACGGTGATACCAAGGGCAATCGATGATCTTCTCCTGAGTCGGCGTTCGCGCGATTCACGCTCTTTGAAAGGTTCTAACGTACGTACTGTATTACTCGTATCACTAGATCGCAGTTCACGTATCTATTCATTGATCTACGGTCGTAACGCTCGCGCCAGTCCATCGGTGCGGCTTCTAAGATAAGGTTCGTGTCGCAGTCTTGCTAACACCATTTACTCTCAGTAAGTCGTTCCTCTGAACCTGCTCGTCGGTCTGAGCACAATCGGCAGCGAATGAGTCGCATCGTCACAATGTACAACTTTTTCAAGTCCAGAGACATCCTCGACTCGTTGCTTAGTATTAGGCAAACACCCACAACTTATAAGCACGGCAGTTTGAGTTCGCACGTGCAGGTACTTCTCCAGATGCCGGTGAGTATTGAATTATTTTGAATCTCGAGAGTACACCCGTTGTGTTATAAGAATCAGATCCACCAAACATTTGCACTACTTGTGGATGGGGCAAATCAGGACGAAATTCTGACCCGAGAGATACTTGAATAGGTTACAATGACTGACTGAAGACGTGTTTGAGCTTCAGCAAGGCAAGCGCAGAAGTGGATCTGTTATGTACTCACTACGAGTAGATCGAGGAGTGTCGGGAACTGGTCAACGATCTTATTTGAGCCATCCGCGAGAATGCTTTTCGTTGGACCACCTCTAAAAGAATAAAACCCCATTACCTGGATGGGGCAAAATGACCTCGATAGGATTGTCAAGGCCAACTTTGTGAAGGGTAGCCGAATGTGCTCTTATCTATAGAGCGAACATCAAGAACTATAAAAGAGCTCCGAGGAACAAGTACGCCTCGGATTCGGTGTCTGGACTCTGGATTCCGCCGCAACACAGCGTCTGCTCGATAGAAATATCTCTGAGGAAGAGTTGGCCAGCATTTGTTAGTATCAATCGGAGTCCGAGTGCCATGAGGACATCTGGATATTCAATGAATACTGTGGTATCTCAAATTTCAAAGGTGAAACGATCTACTTACTGATATAGCGCGCGCGAACTGACGGTAGGCGATCGAGTCCGAAGTCTCATGTCGCGGAATGTCACAGTATGTCTGTCACACGTGACAAACTGTCACAAAAATGCAATGCACGTGTAGTCGAAGCAGTCCTCTCTCTCCAGAGAATCTAAAGCGCCACATTTTCCAAAACCTGTGAAATCTTACTTCGTCATGCATCCAGTATCCTCTTTTGCGCTCAAAACGTATTGGGAACAACTTGAACCATGCACTGATGGGGAGTTTCTCCGTGGTCCAGGAGCAATACTTGCAGCACTTAGTCCAACCCATTTGTCACGACTCTATGCGACGGACATGACATCAGTCAACTGCCATATCGTCACTCAGCCCTGAAAAAAGTAAGAATTACAAAAAGCGGTACTCACCACTTCGTCCCAGTATCCTCCCAAACTACTCGCCCTTTTCGGTATGTCGATGAATGGGCTACCAATCGGTATCTCGAAATGCAATCGAGAATCAGACAGAGAATCGTGCGCGCTGCAATGTGAGTATTCATAGGGAAGGTTGCGAACTCATGGGGAAGAGGTGCACTGTACTGTTGGTGGGACGAGTGAACTTTGAAGATGGTGTTTATTCGACCAAGTACCTGCAAAGCTGAGTGCTGAACTTCATAAATTCAGGTCCATGTCAAGTTCATGCAAGTACAATAACATTCTTTAACCCACTCTGGTCCCAATCCCCACGGAAAATATTTACCGCAAGCTGATTGCACAAATTCTTGGAGTTCTCTAAGACGGAGGAGCTATGTAAGATCTCTCTATCATACTTCAAGCTGGGGAGAAGCTGTTCAGGGAAGATATAATTTATTGTCTTTGGGGTGTAAGCCACTGATCCTTTCACTAGAATAATTATTCAGGTAGGCACATTTCTACATCATGATCTTGGTCACAGGTTGCGGTGCGTTTGTTTTGATAGTCCAATGGAAATAAGACATTACTGATGTGACTCTGTCTTGAGACTGGCTCAGATGATAAGGAACCGAGCCAACTCCCTCTGAGGCCCTAATCCCTCTCCTATAAATCGAATTTGGGTAACAGGCATGCTTACAGTAGGGTCTCATCCCGGCTATCTCTGGCTTGTCTATCACATTCAGACACTTCCTTTTCACTCTCTCTGTTGGGTTCTCGTCCAGTTCGAATTATTCAACTCATTCAGACTATTCTTTTGGAAAATTTGTTTTCACTACTTAACTGCTGGGAACCCCTTACTAACCAAGTAAGTTCTTGCCGTTTGTAATTCCTTTACGATTATAATCATTCGTCGATGGTCTCTAGGGGAGATATCTAAGCTTGATAAGAGAAGGCCAAACTTGTTGGCGTTCATCAAACTCTCATCACGAGTGCTCTCCGCATGACCTTGGCGATTGGCCGATCTTGTTTATCAGGATGAGTATCGTATCCTACTGAATGAGATTGGTCAATCAACATCGAACTCAAGTTTCTAAGTACTTTTTTTGACTACATCTTTGAACTTGATCAACGATATCACAATTCTATTTGATGCCAGACCACCAAGTAGAGGTCTAGCTAAGTTGCATCGTTTAGCGCATGCATCCGTTCTACATTTCTGTGCGCATTTGTTGAATATACTGTGATTTGATCTCCATATCCAGCTTGGCGTAGCTGGACTTACAATAATCAAATACAGTGCATGGTGTACTATTTCTTGCCTGAAGGACTATATCAAGCACTATGTATGTGCAAACTTTTTACACACGACAAGTATCGTCATCGTGAGCATCCAGACATAGATTTCAACAATTCAAATGAGATGGGTGGGCAACGTCGCAACGCATAGGAAATGCAAGATTTCAAGCGGAAGTCTGACGCGCCCCAAGGCCTAGCAACTAAGAACGTCATAGGAACAATTTTCATATGATTCTTGGTAGTTAACTACTACGAAAAAACACATAAGATTACCAGGTACGATGTACCAATGCAAATAGATGACTCAGGAAGTGAGCGCCAATTATACCAAGACTTTCCTGAGCTGCCACGCCTTCGCGGGGAGGAGTGTTATCGGGCAATTACCATGTTGCTCGACGTGGTCGTGTGCGCAGCGGTAGCAGAATACGTAACCAGAAGGTAATGCTGTGGCATTGTGAATAGGCTCTTTGCAAAGCGGGCAGTATCCGTATTTTGTGTTGTCGATGGTGATCCCTGCGGGATGCGGTGGAAGGATCTGAGGTGGAGGGATAGCTGGACCAAGAGGAGATATGGATAATGATCGCGCAGGGGAGCCCGGGGAGTACCACCATTCCAAGAATTTGATGAAAAAGATGGCTGTGGGTAAGAGAAGCCTCAAGGAGTCGAGTAGTAGTTGGGGTGATCGCAGCAGGAGCCGTCGAACTACAGCTAAAAATCCGCTCTTTGTTGGGGGAATAGCATTTTGCTTCGCTTGTTGTGCGAGCTACCCAGGTGGTATGAGTGCAATGCGAATGACCGAAATGCTAAACTCACGAAATCATCCATATTGAGTCTTCTGAGATCAACTCCTATCCAAGCTAACCATGGGCGATAGAATGGCGTACGATCGAATAAATAGGCTACATTATGCGCGAGAAGCCATGCTTCAAATCCGATGTTGAACCATGGGTAAAGTGTTTTGAACTTTCTGCGTAAAACGCCTGCCATACTCTGGAGATACCTGTCGAGCATTGCGACATCGTGAAACGGTACTGCTCACCTCGTCTGTGAGTTCTCGTATATGTCTTTCGCTACCTCCATCTTCCAGGATATCAGAATCAATGCCTCCACCGAGCGACTCGTAGTAATCCTGCCCTTTCGCTCGTAGATAAGGTACAGCAATCTGGGTTCACAGGGGTGAGGGGCTGTCTGGTCATCACCGAGAATTCTTACCAGGAGAAATAACGACCGCCAGATCTCGCGACTTCTGAGTTTCTCACCGGTCGGTATTCCACCAACAGCAGCTGTTGCTCGTTCGGTCGCTATCCAAGGTCTTCTGCGTCTCTTCAGACCGTAAAAATTCTCAGAAAATGATGCATCTAGTAATATTGATAGCGCACTTGAGTTCACTGCATCAACTTGCCAGACCTACTCACTATGTTTGCGGAGATAATGGCGTTCAACGAAAAACATGATGAAGGCATAAAACTCTTCATGGCGGTTGACTATACGAATCAGATAGCGGGGGTAACGTTGAGCGAACACCTGGCAGGGGTGAGTAGTGTGGTTCTGTGGTTCTGTGGCAGATTCTGAGAACTTACTGCAAGTACATACTTTAGAGCAGGTTGAAGCAAGTCACGGAGCTGCTCTTGAGCAACTAATTCAAACAAGGAGGGCTTGAGCGGATCTCCGCCCACATCGTTGAAGAACTCCATGCATGTAGAGTGGTCGTCTTGTTCAAGTTGTTAATTCCGGCTATTCACAGGTTTCAAATTCACGTGGCGCGGCGTCCTCGACGATGACCGGGAAAGGAACGATGGCAAACGCCCTTACCCAGTCCAGACTCCACAGTGACTCAAGTTGATGGTTGAACTTCATTGCAAGGTCTATCCTGTGTCGAAGACCCACTGTAAGCTTGCTTTTGTGGTATACTAGCCGTTAATACGCCAGCAGGCCTGTTAATAATATATATTGAATTATCCCTTCACCTTCAAATTTGAGTTGTCTGAGCATATTCTATGTTCAAGTTCTATTGTCTTGCATGTAATTGCCTCCATCTGGTATAGAACAATCTCTGCTCCCAAGGTCCGTGGGCCACTCCGTCTCTCATTCTCCTTCTTGACATTCCATTGTACATTTTTCATCCTCATGTTTACCTCCTTCCACGCAATGATACCCTCAGACGCTGAACTCGCTTCTCAAGCACTCACTGAGGAGGGCAATTATCGTTTTCCATCATTTTCAGCGTCTGACGCGGTCACGCTTGGTTTGTCTCTACGCAAACGCTTCCGTGCGTCCTCTCGACATTCAAAAGGCAAAGGCCTCGTCATCTCTATACAAACTATCGCGGGTCATACGTTATTTGCGTGTACCGTGGGCGACCTTGGTCACCCAGCCGGTGTTGGGGATGTCAGTTTAGATAGTTGGACAAGTGTGGATGGCATGGTTGGGGTCGTGAGGCAGACTGGCCATTCGAGCTATTATGTGGAGAAAAGCATGAGCGCAATGGGCAAGTCAGCAAAACAGCTGGGGATCCAAGGGGACTATATTATTCACGGGGGAGGTAAATAACTTTTGCCATATACTTCTGGAAACGACCAACTTAAGTTTGCTTCCGTCCAGCGTTCCCGATCTGGTTGGACGTTAGTATATGTGTTGTTTATTTATGAATTTGAAGAGCTGATTGAGGCTGTATAGAACGCCCATTGTTGTCCTATTGCTGTTGTTGCTTGCTACTCGGGTTCAACCCAAGAAGACCATCACGTACGTCCTCTTCCAAAACTCACTCGATTCAACATTCACACACCAACCATTAGCTTGTGGTAACAACTGTACGGGATTATCTTCACAAAATCAACAAGTCAGAAGGTGCACGAATGTCAGCCTCATCTGTTCTAGGGACAGAGATGCATGCGCCTCTCCCGTCTGTACCAATCCGGGAGAGCACGGTAAGCTCATATCAGCGAGTTGAGGTTCGCCAGTTCATTAGCGAGTAAAGGCATGGCTCACAGATCCTTCCCACAACGCACTTGGCATGAGAAGGCGGTCCGAGTCGCCATTTGACCATCATGACGAGTGAATGTAACATATATTATCGTGTGGGGTGAGCGGTGGTGTGTAATAGTTATACCAATAAGATTTGTAGCTATGATAGTCATAAAGTGACATGCACTACTCGGGGCTCTCGCTATGCGAGGGGGCGTGCCTGATAACCCGGATGCTTTCTATAAACAACAATCAGTTACGGAAAGGTTGAAATAAGAAAGAAGCAATATACCGTGTCTGAGGAATATCTGTCTTTGGCCCTGCGGTGAAGATGAGTCCGCGCTTGGGTCTGGGTCACGAAGCTCAAAGTTCGCCTCAACGTAGACTTGGGTCCCTTTCTGGAGAGTGCGCAAGTAGTTGGTCTGATTAGGATTGAAGCAAATGATGTGGTGCCACGTGGTTCCAGCCTCTTGGCGGTCTGAAGCAAGAGTTCAGGTGATACTAATGCCCCAAGAAAACTAGGTTTACTCACTGCCATCAGGGTTAGGAGGTGGAGGTGGGTAGTTGGTGGTCGCAACGGTATAACTGAACACAAATTCAGAGGGACATCTCGGAAAAGATATAAAAAACTTACGAAGCGTATTCCTTGTCACCTTTGGTAGTACGAACTTCAGGGTCTTTGCCTAGTCGTCCAATGAGGATGAGCTTGGAGACGTCATATGCACGCGTCGAAGTTGTTGAGAAAGCCTTGAAAAAGAAAATCATCGGCGCAAAACCATTCTTAGATGACTATCAACCTACGCGACGCGGTATGCGAGAAAAACTATGACGAGCAGAAGCAAGCATGATTCTGGTCTTTTCAAAACGCGTTCTAGCAAAGTTGTAGTAAGTATCACTTTTATGTGACGGTAATAAAAGGTGTTTTGTTTGTGCTTGTTTGGCAACTCGCCAGTCAGTAATTAAGCAATTGAACCAGATTGCATAGATTCTTCTCAAATCTTTGTACATATCATTGTATCTCCATCTGTAATCTTTACAATGTCCAGACATAGGCTTGTACGAAATATGAACATCCATGGTATGCACGAATCATCCTGATGGCAGTTTAATTTGAAATTCATCGTGTGACTAGATGAATTGGATGATGCTGCATTGTCCGACGGAGGAGACGAGCTCACTCCCGAGCAGCATGGCGAGTGGCCCGATATATGTGCTCGTGATGCACGCTGAGAGCTCAATACAGCTCAAATGACGTTCTGTCTTGAACAAATCAGAGAGCTCATTGGAGATGAAGCAGTCTCAGGCCTCGACGATGACTTCATCAAGGAAACCCTATGGGACCAGTACTTTAATGTAGAGAGCAGTTTATCGTATTTGTATGGTGCGTAACACATCAACCTCTTTAACCTCGTGTCTTTTAACTGACGCACTCTTGATAGAGGAGCAAGACCGGAGAGCATCAGCCAAAACTCGCAAAGGTAAGTTTCCGACGTAACCTCTCATTTGTAAATAGTCTTGCATTCGCTCTTCCACCATGTTGTTGTTACCCCCCGTTTTGGATCCCGTTTATGGAACCGGCTACGCCGTAGACGAGACGAGGAACAGGAAGGTGCATGTCGTCCCCACGATCCCTGCGTCAGCCTTCGTACAGTCAGGAGCTGAATGTGTTTTAGTGCGACCTGACAGTATTGATATACTACCATCGGAAGGCGAGGAGGTCCATAACGAACCACAATACGTGGCTGGACCAACAGGCTACGAATATTACGATGGCGACTTGGACCGACCTCGAGTTCCCCTCATAGTATTAGCACAGCAAGGTCAACATGAGGTCTACTATCCCGAGGAATTTCCAGAAGAGGTCGATTCGGATGATATACCATTGGGCGTCTTGTCACGCGGCTCGAGGCTCAGCACCATTACGGAGATTACCGAAAGGACTGAACCCTCTCGCCACTGGCCTTCAAAACAGCAGCTCGTAGCTTTGAATAATCCACGTGCATCAATGATTACTGATACCACGACATCGTACGGAGAAGTTATTGGTGTGTTGGTATCAGCAAGGATTTGATTGATGTGACTGAAGTCAGGACAGATACTCGCCAACGCAGTACCGTGGCGCTAGAATATCCTGAGACCGCGATGGACCCAAACTTCATCCCTCCATCACCATCGCCCTCCGCAGTACAACGTCTTTCGAGCTACGAAGCCGCTCCATCGCTTGCCACATCAGTATCACAATCTGATATACGCACAGAGCCACTTCCGCTTCCAACAGAGCGCGCAACATCGCGTGCAAAATCATCAGTTGTTCCTGTACCACCCATGGATACTCTTCCCGAGATTTCTGATTTCCAGTCGAAAGCGAGCGGAAAACCGCTCCCTCCGAAGCCTCCAGCCAGCAGTAAACCCTCTAAATTATCCATGCTTGCGAGTTCTCGTGCAAGTACGAGGAGTTCTCGTTCATCGGATTTGGAGACGACTTCAGTGCTTACTTACCCCGCCTTACGACCTACCGCTGAAAGTCGATTATCATTTGCAACCACTGTAAAACCCCCGCCTGCAGAGAAGATACTTCCTTCTATAAAGGCTCCGTCTACCACCCCTTCTTCTATGTCTGGGCACGTCAAACAGGCTATCCAGACAGCTTTGGAGTTAGAAGCTCATGATCGCGAAAGAACTGCGAGACCTTCTCCAAAGAGCGAGTCGAGCGCGGCGTCTAAGGCATCGTCAGTTGCTACTGTCAAACCAACGATGCCACATTCGCCACCTCGAGCTGACGCCACCCCAAACTTGCCCATCATGCGCCAAGAGGTTGAAGCGAAGGCTCGCCCTCAGTCCAAGCTCGCAGCGCTTGCCCAGGCGAAAGCCAGTGCCAATACTACTCTCATGCCGAAGCTTCCGAAGTCCCCGCCCAGTTCGCCTCCAAAGGAGCTCCCTAAACCTCACACACAATTTTTCACGCCCATCGCAAATGGAGCCACAGCTACTACTGCTATAACCACAACCTATCAGTCACTCCAAAGTTTGTCTAGACCGCAGGCTCAAGAGCCTGCATCGTTAGTTCAGATGCCCGGTGCAGAGCCAAAACAATCTAAATTGGCAAAGAAGGTCAAGAAAGCGAGTGAAAAACCACAGCCAACACCACCCGACGACGATACCGATTCCTGTGGCATCATACAGTCTCCTCTATTCATACCAAAGCCAACTAACTCTCGTGCGTCTCCCTCGGCATTCGCTTCTTTACTTCTCGATGATCCTCTAACACCCCCATCTCCCGAAGACAAGGCCACGCATTCAGCTCACAAGTATGGAAGGGAGGTGCCGAACCTTGTAAAGGTGTACGAGGCTTCCCATTCGCAGAGCCACTCCAGCCTTGGTCTCTCACAGTCCCACCGACACAAGTCGTCTCGCCCTAGGGCTGCACCACCGGGGATGAAGATGAACTCGGGATTTGCATTTGACGTTCCAAGCCCTGACGATATCGTATTCAACGCGCGTCGGGGAACCTCTCTTTCGCACAGGCGGTGAACGAACCTTGGTTCCCTGCTCCATCCGCCATTCCTTTGTTGTATTTCTCTACTCGCATTTTTATTTTATTCATTCATTTTTCCGGAGGACTTGTTTGTTTGTTTGTTTGTTGTAGACCAGGTTGTGGACTCTAATGGAACTTTTTTGCTGATTGTCACTTCAGCTGCGAAGGAACGCGAAAAGGCGGAGAAAGCGGCGCAGAAGAAAGTAGCGAAGACACCTTCTTCGTCTGGCTATACCACGCCGGTTTCTCAAGCGATGTCTCCTGTGAATACGCCGAGTAAGGCCTCAAAGAAGGCTGGTATAGGTGCGAAGAAGTCGGGAATGATGACTCCTGGCGGTACAGGGGGTTTGGATGCTCGACTATTCGACATGGCCGCGTTGAATTTGTTGTCAAAGGGAGAAGAGCCAATCGATGAACCTCCTCCGAAAATTGCACTGGAGCGTGGAAAGCTGTTGCAGGAAGTTCGAAAAGTCCTTGAAGGGCAAGGAGGTGACAAAAAGGCTGTTAGCTTGGTCGTGATTGGTACTAAGTCTTGCTGGCATTTTCAAGTGATTTTTTGTTGATGCTGAATGACAGGACATGTCGATGCTGGAAAGTCGACGCTCATGGGCCGTTTGCTCTATGAACTGGGGAGAGTTGACGAAAAGACCCGTGTTGCTAATGAGAGAGGCAGCAGTAAAGCTGGAAAGAGCAGCTTCAGCTGGGCATGGGAGTTAGACGGAACCATCGAAGAACGAGAGAGGTCTGCATTTTCCTGTTATTTCAATTGCGCGTACCAACTGATCAACAGAGGAATCACGATGGACATTGCTTTACAATCTTTGTCAACCCCTCAACGACAAGTCACCATTCTAGATGCCCCTGGACACAAGGACTTCATCCCAAACATGATTTCTGGAGCTGCACAAGCTGATTGCGCGCTACTTGTAGTTGATGCTATCACTGGAGAGTTCGAGGCAGGTTTCGACCGCGGTGGTCAGACTCGTGAACATCTGCTGCTAGTTCGGAGCCTCGGTGTATCTCAAGTTATTGTGGCAGTCAACAAATTAGATCAGGTTAGTTCAGGGTCTCATAATTCTGCGTCTTTATCATCGCCGACATGGTTGTAGGTCAATTGGGATCCGAGTCGATTTGAAGAAATATGTGGGTTGTTACGTGCCTTCCTTGTCCAGTCTGGGTTTCCCTCTTCGAAAACGAGCTTTGTCCCAGTAAGTGCCATGCTCGGCGTTAACCTTGTCAACAACGCCGATGCTTCGGTACTGTCTAAATGGTACAAAGGCCCTACACTGGTTGACTTGCTTGGTGAGCTATTTTGCACTGTACCTGCATTGATGTGCTCAATCACATCCAGATAAACTGGAGCCCCCCACTCGAGAAATTGCTTCCCCATTAAGATTGCCGATATCCAATGTCTTCAAGGGACAAAATTCCGGAACGGGTGTAACTGGTCGTATATGCGGTGGCGTTGTGCAAGTCGGAGAACGCCTTCGAGTACTTCCGGGAGATGAATCTGCAATAGTTCGACGTGGGTTCCTATGCTTATCAGTGCTGTTGTGTGGATGCTGACTGATGTTCAGTCATCGACGTGGAGGAACAGAGCGTGCCTTGGGCAGCAGCTGGAACCAATGCAACTCTGTACCTGACCTCCATCGACCCTATCCATCTGAGCATCGGAAGCGTCCTTTGCCCGCCATCGGATATTGTGCCATTGGCTACAGTCTTCACAGCTCGAATCATAGTATTCGACATCCAGCTCCCAATCACTACTGGTACATCAGTACGTCGTCTAAACCCCCTCTATTGCGTCTCATAACCCTGGGGTTAGATCGAGCTGTTCCATCACTCACGAGATGTACCTGCCACGATATCAAAGTTGATAGCTACCTTAGACAGAGCTTCTGGGGTAGTGACGAAGAAGAATCCTCGGTGCGCTTCGTTCCTCTTTTGTCTTACCAGGATTGTGTCTGATCTCACACTCAAGGGTACTGTCCAGGGGTACTTCTGCTGAGGTGGAGATTAGCCTGCGTGTCGGGACCTTATCAGGTCCTACACTCAGTACTCGCCCTATTCCATTGGAGCCATTCTCTGCGAATAAAGATATGGGAAGAATTCTCGTTCGACGAGGAGGTGAGACGATAAGCGCAGGTAAGCCATTGACCATCGGAGCCGTCGAGGTTCTCATCGCTTTGCCAGGTATTGTTTTGGACATTATCTCTTGAATTGCAGACAGTATCACAATAGAAATGCATATATAACACCAATACTATGTACAACAGCCACATCCCTACAGAATTCTCATTAGTACAAGGAAAGAGGTATCGTTTGCGTAATGCTGAAAGAAATCAGAAGTCGTCTGCGTCGTAAGAGGCTGTGGAAGCGCGAGGAATGTGCCAAGAGCTATCAACAAGCGAAGACGATCAAGATGGGGTAAAAGTAACTACTACTTCTTCGTCTTCTCCTTACGGGAAAGGAACTCTCTCAATTTGGCGAAGAGTGACCGCCGCTTCTTTCTGGTGCTGGCGGTGTTGAACTTGGATGACGATGTTACAGTGGGGTCGGTGGTAGCAGGAGCCGGGAATGAAACTTCCTTTGAATCTTTGGGATCATCGTTTGTTGAGGGCATTAACGAGCTGGTAACTTCGGGGGTATCTTGAGGCTCGGGCGCTGGCAAAGATGGCTCTTTGTTGGGCACGACAGGCGCAGCATCGACAGCGAATGCATCGCTTGTTTGAGCGGAATCTGGATTGACGTCAATCTCAAATGTTGTGGAAGGGGCAGCCGCGTCTAAAGGGAGCGCGACTGCATCCACGAGTAAATCTCCATTCTTCTCTTCTGCTGCCTGTGCTTCCGAATTCTCTCCCTCCGTAGGTTTGCTGTCCTGCGCTCCAGCTTGAGGTTCCTGCGTGACGGGAGGTAGTGATTTGGACAAAACTATGGGAGAATGCGTCGACGGAATAGAAATTGTTGCATCCAATGAATCAGAGGCCAAAGGATCACCTGCATCAATCTCCCGGTCTGGTGATGCAGATTCGTTCAACGTGTGATCGTTGACAGGTAAGATAAGGATAGGGACGACGGGAGCGATTTGCGGCGCGGCCTCAGTGATGTCAGGGGAGGGAGCTCCCTGAGCGCTCTCCGGTAGTGCCTCGGCAATGATCGGCTCGATGGCCGAAGTGGTTGATAGTTGTTCGGTTGTACCCTACACAGTGAAAGGAACAGAGGTCAGCGTTGAAAACAAATTCTATGCTGGTGCAGTTACCGAAACGTTGACGTTGTCCGTCGAAACACGGGGCGTGGTTGAAAACATGTAGCTGATGCCCGAGGAAACATATTCTAGTGCGCTAGTAACTTCTTCTGAAACGTGCGATGCCGCACTCGTCGCAGTATCCACGATTGTATGGAAAGTGTCAACCTCACCGCTCAATGCGGGAGTTTCAGCTGATTCGACGATAATGTTGGGAACGTGATTTGAAACGACTTCCTTGTTAGAAACGCCTACATCATCGACAGCGCTTGTGACATTAGTGGAATCAGATTCAGTGATTCCATCTTGTTGATCCGCTGCCAACGCGTTCTGCGGGGAGGACTCGCTAGACAGTAACGACTCTTCAGGCAATGTGGTAGTTGAAATCATGGAGTCGGTGGGGCCTTGGGGAACAGTGGTTGATGGGTGTTCCATTATAGGAATGGGTTTAGAGGGCGCGATAAGAACATTATTAAGGTTCCCGGCACCATCGAACTCTGTTGGGCGGTCATTGCGGATGACCCATTTTCCGTCCACAATGAACTTATATGGAACTTTCTCATTCCAAGGAACCCTGACATTGCCTACGAAACCAGAAGCGCCCTTGGGCAGATGCATGGTGCAGGACCACTACCAGGGTAAGAAGGTAACAAAACTGAGCCTGTGGCGGACTGTGGGTAGACTTACGTGGTCGAATGAGCCAGTTAAGATCACGTCCGAAGCATCACCGTAGGGCCTGAGAGTAGAAGGTGAGCACAAGCGCTCATCAATTTAAGGATCACATACCACGACAATTCGACTTCATGCAAGTCCATGGTGTCAGACGAAGAGTAGGAGGAGGGAGATAACAACCTGCAGAAAACCCTGCCGTAACGTCCTCATGTTGTCAATGATTTAAGCTGAGCCGTAGGGTGTCACGCTTCGTGACAAAATATAAATGTACCCATGTAACAACTTTAACTTAACGCTTGGTACAAAATGAAGAATGCGCAAACAGCCATATCTATTCACTATCAACGGCTTCCCTTCTTGTCCGCTCTCCATTCCTTGAACATTCCGTCAAGACTCTTGTATAATAGGTGGGATGGCAGACATCGAATTATCTCACTCATCTTTTCCTCTGCCTCTGCCTTTCCCTTCTCACCAGAAGCCTTCCGCGCAAAGTCCACCGACATGTGGAACAACGCTAGCACCGCCAACGATACATGCGTCTGCTGGGCACCGTGCGATGAAGACTGTGAAAGAGCAGCCAAAAGTGGGCCCGACACGCTCGGAGCTGATATTGCAGGCGTAGATTGGGAAAAGGGGGTGGCGCGCTCGCCTCTGACCAACCTGAGAAGAATCTCCATCATGTTATCTACCTCAGTCAGATGTGTCTTCACGAAGCGCTGTCGTTCTGTGGGAACACCAACAGGGGAGTTGACTGCCCACCCATCCAGCACTGTCCAGATCGTCGGAGCCTTAGAGACAAGATAGTCAGAATCGAGACTCCTGTCAAGATAGTGAGAACGAACTGGGTCAGGATCTACAACTGCGATCTTTTTTTCCCACCCATCAGCAGCATCTCCTGCTACCCAGAACATTCTTCCAAACATGCTCTTTAGCCACTCCTGGATATCGCCCGATTTAACCCACTTAGGTTCCGACAATGGGCGCTCAGTATCAAGATGAACCATTAAAGTGATCTTTGAAGGTAGCGTAGCCTTCGAGAAGGAAGGTAGGGTCTCGTCAGTGCTGGACGCTTCAGATAACGTCGGTAAAGGAGAATATGATTTTGTCGCATCAGAAAGTCCTTCGATCTATAATCGTGTTAGAGAACATGATAGTAGATAACCAAATAATCTTACCAAAACGCCCTTCAGGCCATCATCGCTACCTTTATCGAGGGATATGTGGACTTCAATTCGACCCTCAGATCTGTAAACCTTCAAGTATTCGACCACTTCTGCGTCTACGACCAAACGCCTGCTACCGGCAGCATATGATATCGACAGGCGGTTTGCAGATGGCACTCGGCCACCTTTCGAGACTACCGTACTAGCTGGAGGGTGCGACGGTTCGCCATATGTTGAACCAGAAGAGGTCGACAACAATGTATTTGAAGTAGGAGAGGCAGGGGGCTCAGGAAGGTGCTCGTGATCCGCAGGTTCGTTGGCAACTTTGGTGTGCATGACGACTTCTTCGTGCTCGACCGGAATTTCGCCGGTAAGCTCTAAGACAACTTGCTCTTCTGAGTATGTGCCAACACCCATATCCTCGTCGAGAATTGTTGACGCAAGTGACGCCTCTGCTTGAAGGGGCTTCGGGTCGGAAGTCTGCGTGTCGGATACCTGCGTATCAAGGTACCCATCATGATCAGTAGACTGTTTCTCGCTATGAGGCATATCAGACTGAACAGCAGGAGGAGAACCACGACCAGTAGAAGAACTCGTGTCAAAGGAAGAGCTCAAATAAATAGCATGAGAAGGATCAGCTAGAGTAGCCGATGCATCAAAGAGCCTATCAACATTTTCATCATCAAGAGGCTGGGTGGTTGGCGAAGCATCACCACCCTCTTCAGGTGCAGAAACCAATATGTCCACGTTCGGCTGTGTCGCAGCAGCACTACCATGGTTTACACCAAGGTCAACAGCAGCGACATCTGAGGACGCTGATGGCTTGACTCCTTCAACATCCGGGACAACATCATGATTGTCCCCGGTATGTGAGCCATCAGACTGCTCATGAACACCTCCTGAAGAGGCAATTCCGTCCATCTCAGTACTATGGGAGCCTTTAAGATATATGTTAGTGTGTACAACAGCCTTGAGCCACGAATGGACGCTCCCCCCAAGCTCGAAAGCATCCACCCAAAGCGAAAAATAAGGAAGGTTCAACTCACCATTCCCATTGAGAAAAGTATTTGTAGCAGGAACAAAATGGAGAACACTTGCAGCATGGCTCTCCTCTTCATCCATGTCATCGACGGTAGTAGCTGCGTCGGCATCGGCGCCTACATCGCCTTCATCCTCAGCGATAGCGGCCATGAGCCAATCACCTTCACTGGCAGTTTCTGCCACACTGGGCGCTGCGCTTCCGCGGCCCACTCCATCTAAGTCAACACTGGTGTTATCGTCCACCTGGCTGCTGCGAGGAGGAGGCGGTCTTTCTCGACCTTCCTCTGCATCGCCGTCATCATCCTCAAGCTTCTTGCGCTTGCCTTTACGCATGTCTGGAGGTGCAATATACGAAGCATTGTGCGGAATTGGATGCGAGTCATCAGGAGAAACAGGAGTGTGAAAATAAATGCGGATGCGAGAGGGTGGAGGCGTCGTCAACGAGGACGACTGTTCCTGATAGGAAGTATCTGGCTTCGTATCTGCCGCATCTGTCGGTGCGGGTTCTGATGTCGCGGCACCAGCATGCATGTCTTCATCCTTAACTTGCTCTTGTGAGGATTCCAAAAGAGAAGCAGCGACCTCTTTTTCTTCAGCCTTGATAGGCGATGGTAGCACTCCCCACGTCCATCCAAGTTCAGGCATCTCGAGGCCCACAATTTTAAAGTCAGTGAGCGTGCGCCGATTTTCGTCCTTCTTACCGCTGCTTGCAAATTGCGATGCATCACGGTTTCCAAAATTTGTACTACCATCCTGACGGCCTGTACGACCTGAAGTATGTCCTTGTCCTCGTCCACGGAACGCAGCATTGTTTTGATGGTGCTGATGTCCGGCATTGAACGACCCACCTCCTCTACGATTGTGAAAGTCCTTGTTAAAGCCTCCTCTCGAGCCGTGTCCACGTAGAGAATTTTGTTGAGCAGCGACGCCACCTCGTCCGCTACCATTATTCACGAACATGCCGCCACCTCTGCCGCCACGTTGGCCGGTTAACCCTCCCCGGTTTCCGCTCATAACTGCACCTCTACCTCTTCCGGAGTTCATATTGCCTCCTCTTCCACCAATGCCACCTCTGTTTCCACCTAGGGGCATCTGATTGGCGCCAGGCTGCCCTTGACCCTGACCTTGGTTCTGGGGGTAAATCCCGACATTCCCCGGCGGCGCAGGAGGTGGTTGAAACTGAGGCTGAGGAGGGGGTGGTCCAAGTTGTCGATTCTGACCGTGGTGTTGGTTCGGGCCATCAAACCGTTGACGTTTGGCAGGGGGAAGATGTTGGGGTGGGGTGTGATGAAGACCATGATTATGTCGAGGCTGCTGCTGGGGCTGTGGCTGTTGTTGAGGAAAATACTGTTGCGGAGGGGCCATTGTTTGCGTCACATGCGGGTACGCAGGCTGCTGTTGGGCTACGATTGGCTGTTGGGGTTGAGGGACATACGGTTGCTGATAGCCAACGGACGGTTGATACGGATTGTACTGTTGTTGAGGTGGAGGTGGAGGTGGTTGGACCACAGGCGGTGGTGGTTGATACTGTTGTTGAGGATGACTATGTCTCTGCTGCCAGTGCATGCCCTGACCACCATAGCCGTAATTTGCATACAAAGCACTTTGTTCAGGGGGCGGTCTTGGAGGCTGCTGAGGAGCAGACCATGCTGGAGTGTAGGCTGTAGTCGCTTGTTGCTGCTGTTGCTGCTGCTGGGCTGCCGCTACCCAATAAGCAGAATAATCTGGAGGTGCAGCAGGTGGTGGTCCTGGAGGAAGTGGTGGTTGCGGTGGGTTGTATGTCGGCTGCGGTATAAACGGATTTTTATTCATGGCAGAATCCTGAAGCTTCCGTAGTCGCCGATGAACAGCTTGTCGTCGTTGTCGTAGCTCGTATGCGTGATTACTGCAGTCGACCGTGACACTGAAAATGCAACGAACACATTCATGCTTATGTCAGCTCCCAATAGTTCGATGGGCCCTGGGGCCTGCACATCCTTACTTTATATAACCTCGGGCAAGGTACAATTAATACGGCCGTGAAAATAATGCCATAAAAATACAGGGATTGAGGTTGATATAAAATTGTCAATTACAAACTGTCCGTGTGTGTGCATGGTACTACGTCCTTTCCTGACTAGTCACCAGTAGAGGCACCTGAAGTGCCGGCGCTCGGACCACCGGTCTGGGTCGGCGGGCTTAAGCGCAGCTGATTGAGTTTATCGTGACGATCACGCTGCAAATATTTAACGGATTTGTGCATATTCTGAATATAGCCCACCTACATCATGATCATTCTTATCCTTGGTGACCTGATCGACGTGTGTTCGCGCAGTCGATAAGTCTTGTTTGTGTTTCTCTAGCTGCTGTTGCTGGGTCTAGGAAATTTAAGCGTCGAGAAGAGGTGGAGAAAGGCTACGCACGTGAAGGCTTGCCTGCGCATTGTGAAGGTCTGCGACAGCTACATCATGTTTGTGGGTGATATCATGGAGGGAATTAATGGTCCCCAGCTCCAGCTTTTCCAGTTTCCTGACAGATTTCTCTGCTTTGCCTACAGACTAAACAATGTCAGGAGTGATCTAGAATCCAGGAAATAACGCCTTACCTTGGAAGCCTTGGCTTCTGATTTCTCGTGCTTGTGCATGTCTTTGAAGGCTGACTGTATATTCTTTTCCTCAGATTTAGCCTCCATTGAAAGTTCCTTCTCGAGCTTCTTCATAGACTCCGCATCTGCGGAAAGTTCTGTAGGTGCGGACATGTTTGTTCGAGAGGAAA